GACAGTGTCAGACTTCATGGTTTCTCTATCCTTTCTACCCTAGGCCTTCTGATAAAGACAGGTATAACTTTTCTGAATGGATGCAGTTTTGGAAGTTGTGAGTTATAACTTCATTTTTCCTGAATGAAATAGCTTTAAAACACACATGTTCTCCACCTTTTATGTATGTTGTATGTTCCTGGTCTAGTCTACCACCCAAGACTGTTGTCTGTACTTGGTAGATATCAGCCTCTTTCTTCATGTCCTCTTATTAAATTGCAGTCAAGTCTTCAGATGGAGAATGACAACTGACTCATGACTTCAGACTGGTCACATGTCTGAAGAGGCATGCAGTACAGAGCTACTTCCAGTTCAGCACATAGTAGTCTGATTTTGACCAAGTGTTCTTTCTTAAAGCAAATATGAGACCACTATCCAATCTAGTTAAGTAAGCTTACTTTTGCCAAAATTTTAAACATCTACAAATTTAAGATTTGATTTTTTTGAAATTATCTTTAACTAAATCTTTAACTTACCTGTATCCCAGACTTTGAATTGTAATTATAGCTTTAGTTTGAACTTGGGGTTTCCTATAGCAGTTAAAGGAGAAGTCAAAATTGATAAATGACTGACATTCAAAAGGAGCATCCAGGTTGAGAATTTGTATTTAGGCAACTGAGATTTTTTTTTTTAATAGTACAAACTCAGAATGAGGGTAATTCTCTCTTTAAAAGTTGAGTTATTTAAAAAAAGGAGAGGGAAATTATTTCAGATTAAAGGAGATGTAAGAGAATATATCTCTTAAAACCCATAATATTCGGTTGAATCCTAGTTCAAGAGAAAATCAGTGATATACATTTTGGGAAAGTTGGAGAAATTTGAATATGGACTGGTTATTTGAGCAATAATGTCATAGTAGCGATAATAGTATTTTGGTGATGTAGGAGCATCTCCTTATTGTTTGGGAGTCTGTGCTCACATAGGAGTAAAGTTTCATGATGTCTAATTAATTTGAAATGGTTTAGCAATATGTAGAGGAAATGTGGCAGAATATTAACTGTTTTTCTCCTTTACTGAATGTTTGAAATAGTTCGTGATTGTTTGAGTGATGATACTAATGAAGAAGGCATCTTGAGGGGGAGAAGTCTCGAGGGCATGATGGATCTTCCTGAGCCTGCCTTGTGGTTTGGGAGAGGCTTTGCTGGAGGAGAGCCACACAGGTGGCGGGTGGAGCCTACTAGGAAGCTGTGCTCACCTTCCAAGCTGTCCCGATGGCTCAGCAGACCACACGGAGGCATTTTCACAGGCTCCCCCACGAATAGCCTCATAATAGCCGTGGGAGTGGGCTTTCCACTGTAATGCACCGCGCCACAGACTCCCCTTGGCAGCCGTGGGGAAGCTCAAGTCGCCTTGGCTAGGAGTCCCCTGGAAAACAAATGAGGCTGGATAGTTTTACAGTAAAAACTCTGTGTTGGATATTTGCTCTCAGTGTCCTGGGACTATGAACTATAACAACCCAAATAAATGACCACTCCCTTAAAACACATTACTCATTGGAGCACGGTACTACTTAAAACTAATCTACTGCCTTGCTAAGCCAGGATGGAATTTGTTCAACTCATATTTGAGTTTTTTCCCTTGTAATTTTTGCCTTTGTATTTATGAAGCCTGTGAATTTCTAATAAAGGCATTTTGGAGCAGTTTACTTTAGACAGGCCATGAAATAAAATAGTAGCAGAACTCTGGTTTATCCTTTCTTTTTCTCATAAACATTACTGACCTCCACCTCATTGTTTTTTTCTTAGAGACTTAATCTTCTCTGGTGAACAACCAGGTGAGCCAGAAGAAAGTTAATGGTAACTAATCATCATTTTGGGCTTCATTGTGGCGTTAGAGGTTGTTTGTAGAAGGATAGAAAGAAGCGCAATAGCTCTTTGCAAAGTTCAGAATGCAAAAGGTGCTGCAGAGACTGGAAACTTTTTGGGTGGCTTGGAGGCCAGGGGAGAAGATGGGATCTTGCTGGTACCCAGTGATCACATGACATTAAGCAATTCAGAAATGTAAATTATTTCCAGAAATGCACATACCTGAAGACTTCTGGTAGAAAGATGTTTCCATTACAGAAACATCCTTCCTTTCACCCCTGTCCCTTTCTGTACATAAAGACAGTCTTCTCAGATTTAGGAAGACCACAATAGCCAACTAGAAAACAGGCATACTTAAATGTTATTTGCAAGTGCCTCCTAATCTGGGAATACCGTTATCAGGCAGTTTTCAAATGGAAAGGTTATCACTTTATGATTTCCATTTGCTTATTTGCCCCCAGTCTCCTACTGACTCAGGTTTTCTGCTTTTAGAACACCAGTGTAGCTGGTGCCCAGAGTAGTGAAAGCCAAGGGCCTCTTGGATTCTTTGCCAAATTGCTGTTTAGCTTCAGAGAGTAGTGAAGCTTTGCCTTAGCCTGTAAGTACAGAATTTCAGTGGCCTATTGAACTCTGTGAAGTCAATTTCATCAAGAGTGCTGATAAGAATGTGTAGTTCTTTATCACTGCCTGTTATCTATGCATAAATGAAATACATGTCTCTAAGCATTTTAGTTCAGTATGTTTTAGGAGCAGTAATTTTCTCTGTTTATGTATCAAATTTAGTTTGCCATAAGAACTGACATAGTACCTTTTGTGTTTAATCTCTCTTCAAGTTTCTCTTTAAACAATAAAGTTTCATGTGAGCAATGGAATTTGGACTAAGCAGGTGCAAATCTTTTCTGCATGTTAAACTTGCTATTTCTGTTGTAGGTGCTGTTAGGCCAGGTTTTCTATTAGAACCACTAATAACAAGATGCCAGTTTAGGAATGGTCCCTTTTTAACATAATCGTATCGTAGGTATGGGAAGTATAGGGGGCAATGTTTCAATAAACTGAGTTCTACTAATTTCGCTAATAAATCACTTGGAATCTGCCTTATGGTGCTTTCATTTTCTCTAGGAGAAGGTGTCATATTGAGACTTTATTGTTTAGCAGTCTGAATGGGATTTAGTTGTCACTCAAGAGGTATCTCCGTATACCAGTTTTCCTGAACTCAGAGCTGTAGCTTTCATGATCAACTTTAGATTTAGCCCCTTCCATAGTATCATTTTATTGCTGGAGATTTTGTACAGGAAGATTATTTTTGAAATTTTAAATATGTCATTTGAATCTTAGTCACCTAGAGCTATAGACCAGCAAAAGCAGAATGACTTAGATAGATAACTGCATAGTTTTTTTTTTTTTTTTTTGCTGTTGTCATTCAGTTCTTTGGAAAACTCATATAATCATTATTTGAAAAATCACTTTTAAAATTTGCTATATGTTTTGTGATTCCCAAATTGTTAAGGACGTCTCTCTTACAGCCCCCCTTCACCAGCAGTAGGACAAATAAACAAATAGAGAAGTGACTTCCACTCTCTCAGTGACCTAAAGAATGACGTATTTGTTTTAAAACACTCAGAGCAATGCCAACAGTGTGTATATTTTGTTTGACATTTTAAGCAGAAAGAAGCCATATGACTGAGATGCAATCCATTTGCAAGTCTGTTAGGAAAAGATATATTTCATCTCAGTAAATCTTGAGATTATCCTCTCATAGATGTCGCTGTTATTTCACAATACACGTGACTAAAGCAATTTTGCTGTCAGAGCCATAGCTTGTTTAGACAGCATTGTGTCTGTGGTCACTGATGTCCTGGATCTTTCTGCAGGAGTATTGGAAGGATACTGAATGTAAAAGTGGAGACATCTTTAATTGTGTTCTTTATATAAGTTATTTCAGAACAATCATAGTAATGGAGTTTGGAGCGTCTGATGGTCCTGGAGATCACTTTTTGCTACTCTTGGCCCCTCTAGTTTCCCAGATAAAATCAGAAGCTGGAGATCCTCACTTAGCTCTGCTTAGTCTTTCACTTCTGATTCTTCCACTGAATACTTGAGTGTATTAACCAGGAACAGTTTTACTTGATCTTTTCAGGAAAATCATCAACAGAGTAGTTTATACCTGGAGGGAACCTGGAAGAGAAGGAGAGAAGGGGGAAGGAATTATGCTGGTACTTCGGTGAATCATCTGAAATTCTCTTGCCACCCTATAAGATGAATGATAATGCCATTTTCACAGATGGCATTTACTCTTTTGGATGCAGCTTCTTTCACTTAACATTATGTTTGTGAGATTTATTTCTGTTATTGACTGTAGATGTAGCTCATTTATTTTTAGAGGCAATGTTGTATTTCACTCTGACTATATCCTCATTTTTAAAAAATTCTACTATTGATGGATATTTGCATTGGTTCCAGTTTGAGACTATTGTGAAGAGTGCTATCATCAACACTATATGTTCATGCTTAAACTCGGCTTTAGATACTCAAGCATTTTTTCGAAGTGGCTATACCAATTTGTATTATTGCCAGCAGTATGCAAGAATTGTCCTATGTTCTTGCCAACACTTACTGTTCTTTTTCACTGAGGCCATTCTGGTGAGTTGGAGAAAAAATTTTTTGACTCATATGGTATTTCTTTTCATCTCATTCTATATAAAGACTTTGATGTACTTGAATTAGAATAATGTATTTACAGGCAAAATATAGCCATCTTCAAATAGGTATTAAACAATTAGTTTTGTGAATTGGTAAGTAATAAATATCAGAAGGTAGCCAAAATCCACTCCCAAGCTCAGACTGAATTAATCTTCTCATCTGAAAGCCCTATTTCTCAGATGTTAGACCTCCTCACTTATTTAATTTTACAGATGAAGTGACAGAGACACTTCATTGGAGAGGGACTATGCCAGGAGTTTTGGCCAGGCCTCTTGGAAGAGCCAAGACAGTAATGTTTACCCTTTCCTCTGAAGCATGACTCTCTATTGATTCTTTTATTCATTCATTTGCTAAATAACTATTGAATGCTGATTGCATGGCAGGCATTGTGCTGGGACCCTGGGACTCAGCAACAGACAAGCTTATAATTTCTCGATGTCCTCCTTTGCTTTACAGGTTATGGCTTTCAAATCACAGCCTATTTCCTCAAGAGAGGGATACGCCTTCGCTGCATCAGGGGCACACACAATGCTGGTAAGAAGCTGGTTTCTTGAGTTGTCAGGTATTTCACACAGTCAGCTTGCCCAAGAGAAGGGATGAACATTAAGGAATGGAGAGTGCCACTTGCTTCATTGCTTTCATGTCATTGAGTGTGTCCAAACATTTGTGATTTTTTTCCCCAATTCATACTGTGTAAACTGCCTGCCTGAGAGCAGTGAGCTGGGCCACGCTTTGCTGATGCATCTCAGCACTTTCATTGAGTTCCCAGAGTGACCCGACACAGAGTTGAACCGTGAATCATTTCGTCCTTGTCTTCGCACACGAAGGCAGTGAGATACGGAGCGAGTGCGTGTATTTTCCCAGCCCAGAGCTGTCAGTCTCCCCTAGGTGGGCGAGGAGGCCAGTTCCCCCCTCGCTTTCCCAGGTCAACATGTCCACTGGGGAAATGATGTCACACTTGTCCACCAACACTAATGATGTCAAAAGCTAATGACTGTTCCCCAAGTTGATCTGAGCATTGGAAAGAATATTTAGCTCAGCTTCCTTGGAAGATTTCAGCATATATATAAGATATGAAACAGGGACTTTAAAAATTAGCTGTATGGAAGTACGCTCCTGGAATCTTCACAATTATCTGAACTTTCTTGACTCCATATGTTGCTCAAATATAATACTCTCTTAGTAGGCCTTCCACTTTGTTCAGGTCTCTTGGTAAAATAAGTCAGACCCTCATGGCATGGTCATTACATATATCTTTATTTAAATATAAAAATAATGCAACTCTCAATTATGACCTAAACAAAGTAAAGAGATATAGAAGTTGCTTTCTGTTAATACCTGGCACCAAAATGTTTAAAATAAGCCATTCTAACATTGTTATTTTTTCCGAGGAAGAAATGCAAATATAAAGAAGAGGAATTATTTGATAGAACTGATCATCTTCAATTCTAATTCTGATCCACTAATGAACTATTGTTTCAATTTTATGATTTGGTGGAGGCGGAGATGGACAAATAATTCTGTGGCTCAGTTTCCCCTTCAGTGTAGTGGAAAGCAGATCACTTACCCCTTGCCTCAATTAAGATATTTTAAGAACTAATGAATACATTTTAACTGCTTTGCTAATTTTGTTGTTCTGGCTTTTCAGAGTCCATCCCTAGTCACATAGCAAGATGCAATATCCACATGGTTTGAGTTTAAACACACCCAGGCCCCCACCTGGAAAGGGGGTTTTCTACATGAGGAGGAGTAGTTGGGGGTAAGACCCTAAGTTATCCAACAGGTTAGGCCCCACTTATGGAGGGCTTTGAATGTTGGATGTTGGGGAGCCACGATAGGCTTTTGAGTGAAGCCCTTTTTTAGGGTGTTAACCTGCTTCGTTGAGTAGGATGAATTGGAATAGGGAGACAGCAGTAGTCCAAGGAGTATGGAGAAAGCTGTTACTGGAGCAACTCATTAGGCCTTTTGGTATAATTTAACCTAGCCAAGTAGTCTACGGTGCTAACTCTATTTAAATCATGTGTCTGCATAATTGACAATGTCATGCTTGGCTTCCAAGTGGTGCATCAGATAGAGATATGTTACTACCTCAGTCATTGCCATCTTGTGCAATGTATGCAAAAGGCTTCATTTACCTGACTCATAATATCCCTCTTTTCAAAAATTGGTCTCAGCTAAGAAGGAAGCTTTCTCTTTTATAAAAATGACTTTATTTCCATTACAAATATAGGATAAGTGTGTATTATAAAAACATTCGAGCAAAACCAAGTATAAAGAAGGGAGAAGAGCCACCTCCCCATCCACCCAGAATGTACACTATTAGCACCAGCTAAACATCACTCCAGGGGTAGGTGGAGGCTGGTGAACGAGTAGATGGATGGATGCACAGGTGAGAGAAGGAAAGATCCAGATGGCATTACCATTTTGTATTCCTTTCCTTGAATGTTGAGGAGTCCAGTGCAGTGATTCATTCAGTCTTCCCCACCAGGAAGTTAGTGGTTTGTTTTAAGAAGCTGCAATAATAGATTACTGTGACTATGGTGTGGTTATATAATCTTTACTATTGCCTATTTAACCATTTCCTTAGTAGTTTGGTCATTCATTCCTAAGAGAAGCTGCTCTTTGCATAGCCTGATTCATATTGGGAGTTTGCCCTCCAATATAGGGGACCTTTCTGAGACCAGCTGGCCAGGGAGATGATAAGTAAACTAACTAGTAAAAATGTTGATGGGTCACATTTTTAGATTTTACCTAATATTCTTCCTCTTGCTCTGTAAGTCCTCACACTTACTGGAAGACATTAATCCTATTTCCCAAATAAGAGTTCTAAACAGAACATAGCAAACTGACACAGAAGGAAGGCTGTACAGCCCCTGCCTGGGGGTTCATGTGGTGTAATGGGCCAGGGGCTCAGGTGGACCAATTTGCAGCCTCTTCAGCTCTCCCTGGAGATTTGTGCTCACCCTACCCTATTGATGACAAACATTGAGAGGACGGGAGGGGAAGAGATGTTTGTCTTACATATACATGCATATTATCATAAGTTAAAATGAGCAAAAATCTGGGACCAAGCATTTCTGTGTTCATAGTTTTTTTATGTCTTTCCTAACTTGGTTTTTTTCATTTATACAGAAATCCAGGTATTCCCTGACAGATTTGTGGTCTGTGTAAGTCAGCTTGCATTCAGCCATGATCGTTTGGCAAGTCAGAATGAAGAACTGGTGCGTATAAAAAAAAGTTCTATAAACAAATAAATCTGTTTAAATACTTAGTTTCTATAAAAAATAGAAAAAAGAATCATCTGCTGTTCTCATCCGATAGTTGAATGCTCAGTGCATGTTTTAAGGGAACAAAAAATGTCCTATTTTGCCTGGCAATATTGATTAATTCTTACATTTTTTTCCCTGAAGACCCCTCAAATATTTAGTTTAATTAGCAGTATCTTTTTTATATCAATTTTAAATAAGAAAGCAACACACCACAAAAACTGATGGTGCTTATGTTAGTGTTTAAATGAAATGAAACAGTCTTTAAATGAAATAAAGCAAAATCCGCATGTTTCCACTGGAAGCTTTCATTGGGGTCAGTGGCTTTTGAATTTTATTCCATGGTGAATCACTGACATTTTCATGAGATCAGTACTTCTCCCCAGTGTATTATTTCATAGCTGATTAGGGTTCTCTCTCTCTCCCTGTCTCTTTCTCTCTTTTCTCATGCTAAGTTTTGAGCCCACCAGGGCCAGTTTCTGTTTCATTGGAGTTCTCTATTCAGACAAATAGATAAAGAAAACTTACTCAGCATGTTGCTACTTACAGCTTTGTCTTTTAAGCTTAACGTGTACACATGAGAGAGCCTTCTTGTGTGTATGTGTGTCACAGTCCAATCTGCCTGAACTTCTACATAAACTTTTTAAAAATATATTTTTGGACATATGACTTGAATCTTTAGCAAACAGTTAAAAACAAAAATCCAGCAGACATTAACCCGGCCATGAAGTATGACATGATTATTATGCTTCTAAAATAATTTATGGGAATATTAGATTACCCCTCATGTTTATTATTTTTTAATCCATATGAAATCTGAAATTTGGCCCACATAGTCTAAAGCCAGGTTCTTATCTCATCTTAAATAAATACATAAGAAGAGTGTTTCACAGACCATAAGGGCGAACAGAGACCCAGGAAAAGTAAAGAGCTGAGAACTTATGTTTAAATGTAGATGCCTTCGTTTGGAGCAGAAAAGCATGTCCCTCCTATTTTCTCTTCATCCCTCAGTAAAACTCCTAGTATACACATTAAATGAAATACGTGAAGCAAATTTGGTGAAATGTATTAGAAGTTTATCCTTTGAAATATTTCTGGGATGTTGAGTTATCTTAGTAAATTAGTAAACACTAAAGTGGTAATGCCGTTGGCATACAACTAAAATATAATATGGCTTAACTTATTCTCAGAGCAAAGAAGAAATTGATCTATGGTTTAAGAAAACAACAATTAACTAAAGCAGAAAGTATTATTGCTTTCAGATGGACTATAGAAGAAATTAGATCTCATATCTGATATGTAATATTAATACTTAGTATCTTAAATTATTAAGGGGGAATTAAAACATCTCAATACAAGTGAAATATTATCCCCCTTAGGGGCCCTGGTATTTATACAGATGTAAGTTTTCTATAGCTGCTGTCATATAAATCCTATAATCTGGAAGACTTCCTACACATTGAGAATTTTCATTCTGAAAAATTGACCAGTCTGAGCCTTTTACATGAGTTCAGTTTCCTTATCTTTAAAATGTTCTGATACTTGGCAATAATACTATCAGAGTTAACTACATTAGCTTATAAGAAAAATGTCATTCACATCACAAGGCTCTTTTATTATTTCAAGTGATTCTCTTTAGTTGTGGTCAGTCTGTGTCTTCTCAGTTACACTTTTTCTCCACCCCTGATGATCTCTTCACACATATACTTTCCCACACACACACACAAGTCAGCCAAAGCCCAGCACAGCCTCATCGCTGGATACAGACAGTCCTGTGTGCCCTTCTGCCGAGCCTGCTTACCACTGTGCCTCCCCTCCTCCCCAGGCCTCCAGCCCACCACTTCCTCGGGCTTGCTGTCGCTAGAAACAATGAAAGATACAGGTCAAGTAAAGGTCCCTCTCCCGCAAATTGCCCATCAAGCCAACTACACCGTCCTTCCACCAGAAGTGTCTTGGAGCTTAATCCTCATTGATATTTGACCTCTGCAGAGTCCGCCTGTCTCAGCTATTTAAGGATCAATAAACAATCCTTCCCTTCCAGAACTGCCTTCTGCCCTAGAGAAGACATTCTGACTCCTGGCTGTGTACTTCAAATGCCCAAAAACCGGTGATGCCAGGCTCCCATAAATATTCCTTAAACTTCTTCAAGCCTTGAATTTTTTTATCAGATCAGTTTACATTGATACTTGCCAAAGGGCAGGATCCATCTCATTTTCTCTTGATAGAGATTCTCAAGGAACATCTGACTGGGCAAGGTCTGGGAAATTGACTTCCTGAGTAGCTCTTATTGGAGATAATTTTTTGGCAATAAACTTTGGTTATTTTCCTATAACTGTTTATTTAACTCGTTCTTCTGTGACCACAGAAGTGACAGGGTAGCGAGCTAGTACCCAAGCGGCAGCCTACACGTCTTACTCTTGCTATAGCCTTAAAGAGCTCGGATTCCCTTTCCTTCATCTTTTTTCTCCCCCCTTTTGGATCCTCAGAGTCTAAGTGACAATTTGTTAGGAAATCTGGGAGCATGTGTTCACAACAGCTCTGCCAAGGGACTCTTTCAGCCTTGTAGACAAGCAAGGCAGCTGTGCTTAGTTCCCCGGTTCTTAAAGGTGGCTGTACAAAAGAACCGCTGCTCCAGATCAGACAGTACAAAGGGAGTATTCCCCTCCCTGGCAGGGCAGGGCGAGTGCAGCCACGTGGCCCCTCACCACCGAAGTGCCAGGGACATCTCTGTTGGCATTTCTCTTGTCCACGCAGGGATTTTGGTACAGGGAGATCCTCCGTGTTGCAATCGCTCTGTACGGAGTGCCCATGTGCTAGGGATGTGGGAACTGTGATGTGTACTTTGGGAAGAAAGGGCATTATTATGAAATGAGTCATTGTATTTTTCTTACTAGAGTTTCTCATAAGAAATCTCAAAACCCTTGTAGCCTCAGTTTTTTGACCTATTGCTAGATACAGAGCTGAGTAGTCTTTTAGAGAACTTTTAAACTTACCTTTTTGCCTTAGAAATATGAAGAACATGAAGTAAATTTTTATTGTACTGAGTTATATTTCATTCCAACAATATTTTCTTATTTACAAACCCAAGTCCCTGCATAGAAACTGTTTTCTTTCTCAAATGTAAAGCCTTGGAGCCTTTGGGAAATTTAAAATTATTTATTATTTCTGTTATTTCTTTATTAAAGTTGTATAAATAAGCATAGAACTCTGTATATATCTGGGACATTTCAGGGTCAGCACAAAGCTACTATTTCATTGTGTGTTGGTTATAGCCACTCCTTCCACTCTCTGGAGACCACCCTTCCCATCTGTTCTTACCATCACATTTCAACATAATTCTCTGAGTGCTGGCTTTGTGCTAGGAACTCTGGTAGGCACTAGGGAAAACAAACAAAACAACAACAAAAAAAACAAAAACAAAATAAGGAAATGCTTCTGCCCTCAAGGAGCTTACAGTCTGGCAGACCAGAGCAATTGAAGGGTATCCTGGTGACCTAAAAATGTAATTCAGATAGGGCTCTCAGTTTTCCTAAAAATGTTTCCATTCTGTACCTATATCTTTAGTGGTTCCATTGGACCCTTTCTGCCATTCAGAAGAAAAGCTCAAAATTCTAGACTTTCTTGCTTTTGAACCTAATGTGTCAATGTCTGTGATCCTTTTGGGAATTAAAAAATGACCTGTAGAGCTAGTGCTGTTTAAAAGTGGATATACACATTAAGATATTTAGGTTCTCTGCCTTACGCTTCATTTGAGTCATGATCAAGCTATGAAAATAGCTGTCAAGGTTCTGCAGACATACCCCAGCCACCCAAGGCTAGGTTCTCACTGTAGCATCATCTATGTCAAAGGATTACTTAGGACATCCTGCCAAGAGACAGTATTTAAGCACTAAATTGAGCACTACTGTTTAGTGTTAAAGATTCTCCTTCTGGAATATGAATTTAAAATTGAAGGGAAAATGAGTCTAAAGCAACGCCGTAGGCTGGGCTATTTTTAGCATTGCTGTTGTATGCCTCAGCTGTGCATAATCCAGCCTCACTGGGCTTTAGCCCTCCTCTCACTCAAGGCTTTCTCACTCAAGGCAGGGTATCAGATTATCTCAAAAATCTTTGCTCACATGGGATTTCTATCAGAGGAAGCAGATGAAAATGTAGCTAAATAAAAACTACAAAATGATTTGGCACAAAAGAGAACTTTACTTGTAGATTTAAAAATTGTGATAAAATATAACTCTATCCCAAAAGCTTTTTTATCTTAGAAAAGATAAATAGAAATTATTATAAAGGAAACATTTGAGGCCTTATATTTTTTAGAACAGAAAAAATAAACTGCTTAACAATTTGACTATGCATTGTCATTTGTGCCTTGATGACGGAATTCTTTAACTTTCGTAAGGGACTTTTATATAAGTATAAATCATTATTCAAAAAAAGAGAATTCTCTATTTTTTGTATTAAAAATTTTAAATAAGTAGCAGGTAACTTTTCTAGGTTTAACATAATATATCATAGACTTTAAAAATCCATTCTTTTTATTTCTTACTGTATTTCCTAGACAACGCTAGTGGTAAATTACATGAAAACTATCAAGAAGAGATTCCTGCAGCACTAGGAAAAGTTCCCTGAAAGGGGAGAGGCTGTTTCCATATTTCACATTTTCCATAACGTCTGAACTTAGTTTTCACTTAAAAACTGATTACCAAACTTGTACATGTTCATTGTACAAAAAAAATTTTAAGTCAATCCAAATATTGACAAAGAAGATAAAAATTACTATCAACTCCCAACCCAAAGATAAATCTCTGTTAATGATCAGTCTGTATCTCTCTCTAGTTCATACGTAATAAACGGAGGTCAGTGTGTATTTATTTTTACTAGGACCTTATTTGTGAATTATATGTTTGTGTCCATTTTTCTATTGATGCTTTTGTATGTCACAAACTCCTTACTATATA